TAAATAGATGTCCCTCGACTTCCTCGGGAATGAAGACACCTGAAGAAGTTTGGTCGGGACATCCACCTAGTCTCGATAGACTAAGAGTATTTGGCTGTGTGGCCTATGCTCATATTAGGCAAGACAAAGGTCGAGCCTAGAGCTCTGAAATGCATGTTTATGGGATACCCTGAAGGAGTCAAAGCTTATAGGCTATGGTTCCTAGAGCTAGGTCACAGGAGGTGTATCACCAGTCGATATGTAGTTTTCAATAAAGCAGAGATGGCTTTTAAGAAAACTGATAATGCTGACGAAGAGCTGGAACAGGGAGAGATTCCTGTTGAGGTGGAGCATGTTGATGCTGAATTGCGTACCCCAGATGAAGTCGAAGAAGACGCAGAAGATGTTGTCGAAGATGAGGAGACTGATAATGACTACCTACTAGCAAGAGACAGGTCGAGGAGAGTCATCAAGCCACCTTAGAGACTTGGGTAAGCATATCTCATAACTTATGCCTTAATCTCTGCAAGTAAGGTTCTAAACGAAGAACCTAGAGACTATAAGGAAGTTATGAGGAGTCGAAAGAAGACTGAATGGATGAAGGCCATGGATGATAAGATGAAATATCTTCATGATAACAATGCCTGGGATCTAATCAAGAAACCTGTTGGAGCCAGGTTAGTCAGCTGTAAATGGATTTTCAAAGTTAAGGAAGAAATCAAAGGAGCGGCGTCAAAGAGATACAAGGCAAGATTGGTTGCTAGGGGGTTCACTCAGAAAGAAGGTATTGACTTCAATGATGTGTTCTCTCCTGTTGTGAAACACAAATCCATTCGAATGTTGCTTGCCATAGTGGCACAGTTCGATCTTGAACTGGAACAGATGGATGTGAAGACTGCGTTCTTGTATGGTGACTTAGATGAAACAATCCTAATGAGGCCACATGAAGGGTATGTCGAAAAAGGGAAGGAAGATTATGTGTGCAAGTTGAATAGATCCTTATATGGACTGAAACAATCTCCTCGACAGTGGAATAGAAGATTTGACAAGTTCATGACACACATAAGTTTCATCAGAAGTCAGTTCGACCACTGTGTTTACTTTAGATTTCGACCGGGTAATTCATTTATTATTTTTTTACTCTATATGGATGATATCTTAATAGCAAGCAACAATGTCGAAGAGGTAATGATGGTGAAGGCTGAACTCAATAAGGAGTTTGACATGAAGGATCTGGGAGTTGCGTCAAGGATTCTCGGGATTGACATCCAAAGAGATAGAAATCAATCGAAATTATGCTTATCTCAATAGGCATACCTACAGAAGATTCTCAAAAAGTATGGCATGTCGAATTCAAAGCCTGTTGTGACTCCGACAAACCCTTAACTCAAGTTGAGTAAAGATCAGTGTCCCAACACTGATGTTGAAAGAACTTATATGAACAACATTCAATATGCTAATATAGTGGGTTCTTTGATGTATGCTATGGTCTGTATTAGACCCGACATAACATATGCAATAAGTCTTGTAAGCAGGTACATGGCGAATCCTGAAAAGGCTTACTGACAAGCATTGAAGTGGATTCTAAGGTATATAAATGGGTCTCTAAGTAAAGTCCTAATTCATGGTGGAGCCTTATGTGAAGATAGTAAAGCAACAATCGAATTCTATTCACATGCTGCTGATATAATCACCAAGATGTCGCCCAGTTGCAAGTTTTCCACTGTATGCATTTGATAAAGGTGCATGAAGAAAGCTAGTTTCTTGATGCTATAGAGTTAGATCCAAGGTGGAGATTTGTGAGATATTGGATCTAACTCTAGTATGATCGAAGGGTAGCTTCTGGTTCGACAGAAATTAAGCATGAGGTTAAAGTCTGTTTGCATGCTGCTGTCGAAGATAATGCGTGTTGTAGTCAAAGTTTGTTCTAACATGCATTAATCAATATTGCTAGGTTGTTAGCATATTGGATTGAACCTTGCTTTTAAGTCCAAGTGTTTAAGTTAGCTTGTACCCTAAGTTAACTTGTAATGGATAATTGTTAAAAAGCCCATTAGGTTAGTGTTCTGTTTTTCTTATAAATAGGATGTTAGTTTCTCAATCTTGGCATAAGGAAAAATAGGAAGATAAAATCCTAATTTCAAGAAAGAGAGGTTATTTTGTTATTCTTGTATACTTGTAATCTTGTTCTAAGAGAAAGGAAGGAATAGTAGTATTATAACCAATCCTTGTTGTTCCTTGTTGTTTTACCTTGTTTTCTTTATTAACTCTAACTTTTGTGTGTTTCTTGATCATAAAGAAACCGTTTATACTTTGTTTTAAGATATCCAATTCACAACAAAGTTGTATCATATGGATGTAAAATTGAATTTTCTTAATGCCTTAATAAACGAATAAATCTATGTATCCCAACCTCCTGGGTTTGAGGACCATGAAAATCCTATTTAATTTTTTAAATTTAAATGAGCCTTCTGTGGTCTCAAACAAACTCCTAGAGCTTGGTATGAGCGCCTTATTAAATTTTTTGATAAAATAAGGATTTAACTGTGATAAAGTATATACTACTTTATCTATAAGACATAAAATAAGTCATGTGCTATTAGTTCAAATTTACGTTAATGATATCATTTTTGGATTCAATGATGAGTCTCTTTGAAAAATTTGCGAGCTTGATACATAGGGAGTTTGAAATGTTTATAATGGCAAAGCTTATCTACTTCTTAAGGTTGCAGATAAAGCAATATGAACCGTTAGGTCAAGGCCATGATACCAACATAACCAAAGAATAAAATCCCTAGAGAAGAAGATAATGAGACCTCAAGAACACACGATGTTCTGCCCTAGATCATGATACCTCAGAAACAAATAAAGTCCCGTCTTGTTGAATTATAAAATAAATAGAACACTAAAACATGTCCCATCACACAAATATTTTACAACAGAAGGTTTTAGATCCATAAATCCCTATAATTGCACTATAAAAGGAAGACAATAGAGAAATGCAAGTTACATATTTTTTTTCAACCTAAAATATCTCATTATCTCTAATAGTCACTAACTTAAGTATCTAATTTTATGGTACGTCATTCCGTCAGACACTGCAATAAATAAGTTTAGGCAAACAAGTCTGATATCAACCACTTTAGGTCCACACTAGATCACATGTAACCTAACTTTAACTTATATGTAGAATGAGAAATAAATTTTGAAAAAACATCAAAATCTCATATCTTTTAAGAATTAATGATAAGATTAAAGGCCTAAAAAATCGAAACTTTTTATAAATGGCTAGTTCAAATCTAATACGGATGCAAGTTTGAGATGGAAGAAGAACGTGGGATTGGAAAGACTAACCTTATTTAGTTCTATAATTGTATTTTAAAAGAAGAGCAAGAACAATTTTAGTGACTAAGTGTTTCATTTTATTAAAGGATACAAAATAAAAAAATAATTGAAAGAAAGCATAAAAAGCTATAACCTATAACATCTAAAAAAAACTAAGATCATGAGTGAAGCTTTTGCCCAAAACATATCATTTAATCAAACAAACTTAATTTCAGTAAACTATAAGCTAACTTATTTTAATGATATCACGAGTCTAAATGGTTAAAAATCTTGAATTAAACTATTCTCAGTATTTTTTAAATGTCATTTTTTAATTTTTTTCACATATTAAAAAAGTTAAAAAATATTATTACTTTTCATACAATAATTTTTCTTTTATTTATAATATTTTTAATTATTTATTATATTTATTTTATTTTTTCTATAAAGTACAATTTTGACAAAAATATATTTAATATTATTTTGAATTTTACAAATTACAATTAAAAAAAATAAAAAATAATTCAAAAAAAATAACACGTAAAAATTTAAGGAATGTACTAGAAAACTATGACGTCCGAATAGCAAATTTCTATAGCTACTATTCTGAAAGCCCGAAACTTTTGGGCTAGAAGACCCACGAGAACCATCGGCCTTTATTTTGCATACAAGATGAATGACTCTTCGCGTGGCTGTTTGTCTGTTTCCTGAACTCGTTCGACGATTTCGTCTTCTCCCGTGCCTCTGGTGAGTTCTCTCTTTTTTCTTCTTCTTACGATCTACAAACCCTAGCTTTTCAATGCCTGTTTGTATTGTTTATTGCTATAATCTCTTTCATCTACATGCAAATTTGAGAAGAAAAAGTGATTTAGGGTTAGATTGAACTTTTAATTGCAAAGCATTGAATAATTGACCCCATTCATTCTCTCTCGTTTGAATTATCTCATCAGATCTAAGTATCTACGATTATCATGATCAAATTGAAGTATTTTTTTTATTCTCTTGTTTATAGGAAAACAATTATTGCGTAATTGCGTTAGTTTTCAATTTAGGTTTTGGATCGTACTTTGTATGGGCTTCACCTTATTGGATTTTCTGACAGAAACTTGATTTCATAGAAAATTAGTAGATAAGAAGGCTACCCCATCCATTTCATGTTAATTGAGGTTCAGGGTTATGTTCAATTCTTATTCTTAAGAAAATGATTTAGTTTACCAATTTTTATTATTAAAATGAGCTTATAATGTCTGCTTTCGAGCCATGTAGCACCAGCACCTCTGAAAAAAAGGTGTGCCATGGTCTCTGTCGGAATGTCTGAAACAGAAACCGACATTTGTGATTAGGTGTCGGTGCATCTTAGCTTTTGAAATGCATAGCTTTAACCTTTGTCTTCACTGAGAATGCAACTTTTAGCGTGTTTGATTTGTTTGGTGGATTAAGAGTTCTGCTTTTGAGCTATGTAGCACCAGCACCTCTGGAAAAAACTTGTGTTAGTGTCTTTGTCTGAAATAGACACCGACATTTGTGATTATGTATCAGAGTGGCAATAGCTTCTTTGCTCCTTTGCTTCTTTAGTCTTTCTCTTTGCCTCATGTTTCCTTCATTTTCTTGTGTTCAAATGTACTATCATATTGGTTTATTCAAGTTTCATATATTTGTGATTTGCAGTGTTTACAACCTTTAAGACAAAGAAGAAAATGTCTGGCCCTAGGATTGCTCATGCTACCTTGAAGGGTCCAAGTGTTGTAAAGGAGATAATAATTGGAATAACACTCGGTATAGCTGCTGGTGGTCTCTGGAAGATGCATCACTGGAATGAACAGAAAAAGACCAGGACCTTCTACGATTTACTGGAAAAGGGTGAGATTAGTGTTATTGCGGAGGAAGAGTGAAAATGATGCGTGCCTATTTTTTCCATCTATAGGCTCTTTTGTTTATTGCTATATTCAATTGGCTCTTTAAGTGTATCTGAGCCGAGCTTTTTACACATTGAAAAAATAAGTTCTTGCCCTGAATTGTAGACTATGTTGGCTTGTAGAAATTTCATGAAGCAACTTTTCATTTTGTGATTGTGTTATCTTGTTGATGTTCCTGTAAAAGTTGATTTTTTTTTCATTTTTTTTGGGTTTTAGTATTAGAATTAGCAGGTGTAAAAGGCCGGCATTTTACATTACTTAGTATTCGGTGTTTTGTTGGTAAAGTTGTTAACTTTCCATCTAATCTCTAAATTTCAAACTGACAACCTTACAAGTGCATGCAAACTTCAGTATTAGGAGACAAATGTATTATCGAGCACTGCCTAAATATCCTGGTATTCGATTATAAACTGGATCCAAATGAGGTATTTCCTGTAAGTTGAATTTAAACTGGAAACTTCTCTGGTTATATGATGTAAAGATTTTCTTTTTTGTGTAAAAAGAAAAAGTAATTGGCTGATAGAGATGTAGAATAAGAAGGTTAAATTGTGATGATATTCGTTCAGCTGCTTCTGGGACAAATGTCAATGCTTTGTTTAGGTACAGTAAAGTTAGACTTTTAGGAGAGTTAGGCTTTGACATAGCATTAGATTGTTTTTTGAATAAGTCCAAGAGTTTCTATTGTTTAATATAGTTGAAACTCAACTTAATTGTAGAGTGCAACCATCTTAACATTGAAACAGGGTGGCAGTTTAACCAACCTTCCTACTCCCTCTCCTTATATATTTGATTTCCCACCTGCTTTCTCCATTTGAGTAAATCATCTCTGAGGTGTGTCCGGCTGTGGGTACCATATCGTATGAGTCTAGTCCCTTCTGCAAGACCCAACCTGAGTCGATTTTAGATCCCTCCTTCACTCACATTTCTTGTGGCATATCTCACTTAAGTCTGAATTACTGTTTGTATGAATGGTCTGGTAGAAAGTCAGGGTAATTATTGGAGGCCTTCCACTGTTATATTATGTCTACAACTAGCCCTTCAGACTGCTTATATATCGACCAATTTATAACCTACATATTTTTATGTAGAGGGTAAATTTATGTACTTTTTTGGGTAGTACGTTAAGTTAGGAATACAATGATGAAACACATCTTTTTTAAAATATTGTTCTCAACTTTGGACTTTTAGTATTTAAGGTGACTTCTAGAAATGGAGCCTTTCATTCCGGGGTTCTAGGTATGTGTTTGATTGTTGATGAAAGGATTCTGTCCTAGAACCAGTAAGTTGTGAAAACAGTCCTTTAGTTATTTGATGATCCTTTTTTGGTTCTGAATAGTGATTATGTTGTTTTTTAAAACAGCAAAATCTAAAGCATCAGGTAAATTACTTTCTACAAAGTCTGACGAGAACCGCAAACTCTTAATTCCTTTTCTTTTTAAAATCTTTTTCAAGTGCGAGCCTGTGGATTAATTCTCATGTAGTAAGTGATAAACCCCTGCCGCGTGCTCAGCATTGACACGTCTCTCAGACCAGTTGCTTCTGCGTTCATGCCAAGTTTTTAGTCATTGAAGTGAACGAACAAATACGCAACAAATTGAGACGATATATATTTTGTCTGTATAGTATTATTTCACGGCAAATATTAAAACACCCGGTTGGCAAAAATACGAGAACTACATGTTGATGGATGTCTAATATTTTCGCTTCCAAACAAACCTTTTTCTTCTAGAGTACCAAAATATCAAGATTTTTATTATGACTATAATCCAAAATATTAGGTTCAAGAATTTTTGCATCACTAATTTAAAGTGAGCTAGATAGGTTTCTCTTGAAATAAAATAAATAATATCTTAAAACAGATCCAACGTGGAAAATAATTAGAGGTTGTGAAAAAGATAAGAATTATGCGTCCAGAAATATTGATCGGCATTGGTTATATATTTTGCCATAATGTACACCATTAAATTAAACCTCATCTTTATTAACACAAAAAAAACTCAATAGCTGCAACTATGGCAGCAACAATGGCTGGTATGAGTCTTTCAACTCCTAGAGTAGTTTTCAAGGCACCAGAATCGCTTCAAAAGTCTCAAACCATCAGGTTCGCACCAGTTTTCATGCTCAACCAAAGGTGGGCCAGTACTGCCAGTTCGGGCAGGATGGTAAGCATTCGACCCGTACGGGCATCACCGGATAGCATAACTGGAAAGGTGGAAGAGAGCATAAAGAACGCGGAGGAGACTTGTGCAGGAGACGCCACTAGCGGCGAGTGTGTGGCGGCGTGGGACGAGGTGGAGGAACTGAGCGCGGCGGCAAGCCACGCCAGGGATAAGAATAAGGGATCGGACCCACTTGAGGAATACTGCAAGGACAACCCGGAGACTGACGAGTGTCGCACCTATGATAACTGATTGATACTGTCCGTTCAAGTCAAAACTCCATTATATTATCATTTCTGTTGTGTATTAATTTTTATTTAAGGTTGAATAATTCATATATATACCTTCTTTACAAGTAAACTAGTCATTATTCTAGCTAGCTTCATCCTATTACTTTTGTTTATAGTTCTAGCATAGTAATATCAAGTTTTAATTATTTTAAAATAAGAAAATATTTAGGGTGTTCGAGTTTGTTTGGTTTTGAGAGAATTCAATATTAAAATTAATTAAAAATATATGAATTGGTTTGAATTGAATTTGCTCATTTTTATGATAAAGCGCAAACTGAACCAAATCAAAAAACAATAAATTGATTTGGGTTGGATTGATACTTATGAGATAAAAGGAGCTCGGGTCATATGGTTCTCAGAGACACGTTTCCAAACGGTGTCTACAATCAGTGTAACGAGTATATGGTAGTTTCATGGTTGCATGAGAGTTACAGAAATTGAGAGAGAGGACGTTGCATATGATAATGATGACAATGACAAACATTATTAGCATCATTTAATCATGAAACTTGAAGGGACACTTCTTAATGATCTCAAGAGGTGAGATGAGTATAAAAGGGCTTCCCATTAAGGGAGAAAGGGGGAACGAGAGCATTCAACAATAATGGTAATCAACCTCTTTCAGAAGTAAGATGGGGTGATCAAGTCCCAGAGAGTTTTAAACCACCACCTTTGCCATCCTTTGATGGCAAAAACGATCCACAGGAGAATATAATTTTAATTAACAATCAAATGGAGATAATCGGTGCTTTCAACTCTTTAAAATGCAAGCTCGTGGCAGGGACATTCAATGATGCGGCCTTACGTTGATACATGAGTCTATTTAAATTCTAAATCATCGATTATCAGAATCTAACCAGGAAGATGGTGCAACACTTTTCTGCCAGCAAACATAGAAAGGTGTCTACCACCAACCTGTTCAACATCTGCCAGAGGCCCTCTAAATTTCTCTGTGAATATATGGCGCGATTCAATGAAGAAACAATAATTTTTTTATCCGAATTAGGAAATATTTGTGGGAGCCTTCTAGAACAGTCGAAAGGCGGATAATTTTAATGAGTCTTTGGCACAAAAGCCGACCACAAACATGGATAAAGTAATGAATAGAGCATAATGTTATATTAAGGGCGAAGCAAACAATATGGAGAAGAGATCCCAAGATGCCAAGGAGACGTTATAACTTAGGCATGACGAATTTGGACCTAGGAAAGGTCACCACAAGCACAGGTCGAGAGACAGATCAACGATAAATCCTTCTCGGAGACCATATGATAACTTTTCCAAGAACTTTACCGCATTTAATACAAAGCACACGGATATCCTACGTGAAGTATACCATCTCAAACTGTCACTAGAACCCAATCGCTCCAAGAGGGCTAACACCGTAATGGGAAAAGACGAGGATGCTTGGTGTGCTTATGATCGTCTGAGAGTCCACGATACTGAAGATTGTCATTAGCAAAATAGAGAAATCAAGATCCTGATACAAAGAGACCGGTTATTGTCATACTGAAAAATGTCAAAAGATTAGCATGAAAGAGAGGTCCTTCATAGAGAGATCCAAACTCAGAGAACCTATCCACCAAGAAGGGAAAAAGTACCGAGGAGGTGAATGAAAATAGGGTAGCACACCACACACTCAACACCATCTCAGAAGGTTTTGCTGGTGAAGGTGAAACAAACTCGGCTAGAAAGAGATATGCTCGGTTAGTAATGCATGTTTCACAGAAGCTGTTCTTAGGATATGAAGAAATACTTGTCGTTCTTAGCATTTCAAGAAGGGATTTGGAAGGCGTACTAGTGCATGAGAATGACTCAATGGTCATAAAGTACAAACTCATGATTGAAGTTTCAAGCGGGTGTTAATCGACCCAGGTAGTTCTTCTAACATATTGTGTTGGGACGCTTTCAAAGGCGTGAACATGGATACGTCAAAGTTGCTACCTTCCAAAGACACCCTGATCAGTTTCTCTGGGGAACATGTCTAGGTACTAGGGCAATTGCATATCATGACGTTTTTGAAAGTGGAGACAATGCCAAATGAATCAAAGTAAGATACCTAATAGCAAACACATATTCACCGTATAACATCATCATTGGAAGGTCAACGTTCAACGCTCAGGAGGCTACACTTTATCTTACTATGAAATACCCTCTAGATGATAGGCGTGTAGGGATAGTTAAATGCGATCTGTGATTGGCCAGGAAATGCTACAAGGATAGCCTAAAGCTGAAAAAGAAGGCCCAACAAGATCATCCACTGACTGAAATCCTTTAAAGGTGAACCTAGTCGACCTCGACCCTCAAGAGGACCCAACGGATGATAGTTTAACCCCCATTAGAGAATTAAAAAAGGTGCAGATTAGTGTTGAGGATATTTATATCAAACATATAGGTTTAGGACTACCTCAGGAACTTGAGACAAACATCACCAAGGCATTAAGAGACATTGTAGACCTCTTCGCTTGGAAGCCCTCGGACATGCCCGGGATCGACCCGAATATCATATGCCATCAGCTTTCTCTTGATCCATCATCAAAAGCCATAGCGCAGAGGAAGCATCAAAACTGAGAAGAGAAAATAAAGGCTGTCATAGAGGAGGTAGGAAAGCTCTTAAAGGTCGAGTTCATCCAGGAAATAAAATACCCCACCTGGCTCTCCAATGTCGTCATAGTGAAGAAGAAATCCGGAAAATGGCGTATGTGCATAGATTTCACCGACCTCAACAAGGCTTTCCCAAAGGATCCTTATCTATTTCCCCACATCGATAGACTCATCGATGGTGAATCCAGGTTCCGTCTGCTCAACTTCATGGATATCTCTTCACGCTATAACCAAATACGTATATGTGAACCTAATGGATGCTTCCAAAACATCATTCATGACCAATAAAATAAATTATTACTTTGAAGTGATGCCATTCGATCTTAAAAACATCAGTGCGAATTATCAAAGGCCGATGGATGTTGTGTTCTCATCATAGAAAGGGAGAAACTTGGAAGTATATGTTGATGACATGGTGATCAAGACTCTGAAGGATAGGGATAATGTAAAAGACATGGAAGATACATTTGAATTAATAAGGAAGTTTGACATGAGGATTAACCCAGACAAGTGCACTTTTGGAGTACAAGTTGGCAAGTTTCTGGGTTTCATGCTGACGTTTATGGAGTTGAAACATTTCCTATCTTCCCCACCAATTTTGGTCCGTCCGAAGGAAAGTTCGTCCCTTACACTATATTTGGTACTCTCAGACACGACTATCGATTTTGTATTTGTTTAAAACAGTGATGAAGGTGAAAGGTTGATCTACTTTGTCAGCAATATTCTTAAAGGAGCAGAGATCTGTTATCAAAAGATCGAATGATTAGCTCTAGCAGTAGTGATCACCTTCAGGAAACTTAGACAATATTTTCAGAGCCACCCTATTATTGTCAAGATGATCTACCCCATAAAACACATTCTGAAGAAGCCGAACTTGGCGGGTAGGATGGTAACTTGGGCCATAGATTTGTCAGAGTACGACTTCATGTTCATACCCAGGAATAGCATAAAATCACAAGTACTGGAGGATTTTTAAATAGAGCTGAGTTCTCCCACTCTAGAATAAAACAACCAGCAAGGGATTCTATCAGTGGATAACTCGTCTAACCTGAAAGATAATAGAGCATGAATAATACTATAGGGATTGGGGGAGTTAGTGTTAGAAAAGTCTCTATACTTTAATTTCTAGGCTAACAATAATCAGGCAGAATATGAAGCCATGATTTCTGGTTTGATATTAGCTAAAGAAGTCAGAGCTACCCATTTGCTGGTTTGCACTGATTCATAATTGATTGCTAGTCAAATCAAAGGATATTATCAAAGAAAAGATCTGTTGTTAATCAAATACCTACAGCGGGATCTGCAATTGGCCAAAGGGTTCACAAAATTTGAAATTTCACATATCCCTCGAGAAGAAAATCTCATGGTCGATCTATTGGCCCATTTAGCTAGCACCAAAGTCCCCGAGTTAAATAGAACAATAATCCAGGAAACCTTGGAAGCTTCAAGCATGGAAACAGGGGAAATCATGATGCTGGAAAATAAACGGGGTCAATTGATATACATCATTCAATATCTGACTCAAGACAAGTTATCGGACGAGGAAACCGGATCCTAATGCATCAAGAGGATATCTTCTCGATACCTAATGGTAGCAAGCCAACTATACAAAATGGGAAAATCCTCTCTGATTTTGAGGCGTGTTGTTGAATAAGAAGTAGGACTTATAATGAAAGAAGTGCATGAAGGAGTGTGTGGAAGTCATATTGGAGGAAGGGTGTTATCTGGGAAAATACTCAAGGCGAGGTATTATTGGTCGAGTATGCTACAAGAATATGCATGATTCATGAACCGTTTTGAGAAATGTCAAATTTATGTTCCCTTCACACATTCTCCTCCCGAGTTGTTGCATTCGGTAGTTTTCCCTTGGCCTTTTTACCAGTGGGGATCCAATATTCTCGACTTTTTTCCTTTAGTCGTCGGACAACTGAAATTTCTTATAGCTGCAGTGGATTATTTCACCTAATGTATGGAAGTCGAGGTCGTACCCCGTATCACAAAGGAAAGGGTGAGACGTTTTTATTGAAGGAATATCATATGTCATTTTGGTCTACTAGGGATCATTGTTTTTGATAACGATATGCAGTACGTGAGCTTGTCAGCTTTTGAATTTTGCAGGCACCTCAGCATACAAAACCAGTTTATTTCTATCGAGCACCCATAAGCTAATGGCCAAGCAGAAGCAGCGAATAAGATCGTCCTATCAGGATTGAAGAAAAATCTAGACGAAGTAAATAGGCTTTGGGATGAGTATGTACATGAGATTTTTGGTCCTATCACACTACCCCTCACTCAGCCACTAAAGAGACTCCCTTTCGAATGACGTATGAGACTGATGTAATGATACCAGTTGAAATT